GTCACTAGCAAAACAAATAACCCAAATCATAAGGTACAAGAAAAAAAACCTCTGAGACACTCATTCCACTCTCCAACAGTCATTGCTAAATATTTTTCACAAGTTTGAGATGTCTTTTTAACCTCTGTAAGAGACAGTGCTAAATAAAGTTTAAATCAGAAAGTCAGAATCCATGGACTCCTATAGATGTGCAGTGAGGCTGCTCCCATGTGCTGTAATCTAATCCAGTGTGTTTGAGTAGACTCAATTAATCAAGTCTGCTGGAGTGCAGAAATTACCATGCTCCAGCAGCTTCCAGCATCACGTGTATCAGCATCCCTGCACGGAAAAATGGTGGCAGGGTGCTTTGAACTTAAAGCTTCTTGAATGAGTTTTTGTTCAAAGTGCCCTGCCATTTTTCAGTGTGGGGATGCTGATACGGGTGACACCGGGGCGCTTTTAATTAGCACAACTTGGTAATTAAAGTGCCCTCCCCATTTCCTGGAGCACATCTATAAACATCCCGCATGTATGTGTGAAACTCAGTGAAGGCAGAGATTAGGTTGAAACTCCTTCACCCCTATAATGCAGTGAACACTTCACAGTTCCACCTCCTAACAGAAAGTGTGGATGTTGGAAATCAGTCTTTGCATTAAAAAAAAAAAAAGATAAAGCTGTCATTTTTCATAATCCGTTTATGCAACTTACTTCCAAATGATAACTGCTATGTGGAATCAAGTACCTGTGTGTATGGTGTTATAGTGCCATGGCTGAAGAGACTGTGCTTTATCACAGGTGATTTTGCACACTGGGTATTTCTCTCCGGTTGAATGCTTTCTGGAAAATTTTAGCAAAACCAGTTGGAGTTGGCCATTTTGGAAGAGGTTGGGTGGAACACAGGTTTACTCACATGCCAAAATCTTGATCTTTGGCTTTGAGAAGCTTTGGAGCACAGATTTGAAATTTGGTAGCGCTGACCTTTGCAGAAAGGGTCATCTTTTTCACTCCTATGAACATCTGCTCAGATATGGCTAGCTTATAACTATGAACTGAAACATAACATCTAAACATTTATTAAAAAAAATAAAAATTAAAAGTCAAAACAAAATGAGCAACAAAACTAAACCAAAAATGGAGATGAAACTATATGGAAAAGTATAAATGTGCAAAGATTCTTTTGATTCAAACCATTTGATATTTTTCTGTCACATTGCATCAAATCAAAAAACACTCTTGTGAACTGTTTCAATTTTTACAGTGGCAATTTCTGACAGAAGACTGACTCGCTGACAAATTTTCAACAGGTCTTAACCCAGAATGGCTTGGCTGTAGTGCCATTCTGGTTGTGGTTACAGAGAGCAGACAGGAGGCTTAGGCTCAGAGCCTCCTGGTTCTCTCTCATTGTGAGGCAGGGAATGGAGAGAACAGATGTATTATTCTGTCCTTACACCTTAATAAACAAAATTGGCTAATAATTGTATATTTAAATTTGGATTGTGCTTTCCTCTGCAGTGTTGTGAAATCAAAAGCACCTGCAGGGGGGAGTAGACAAAGTCAAATATATTAAGAACATTATCTATAAAAAATTCAGCTTGAGTTCTTTGCTCTGTCAGCCATGCTGCAGTAAAAAAACTTTAAATGAATTAATAATTTTAGGTTGACCCTGCCCATTAATTTATTGCCAGTGTCCTTTATAATTGATTTATCTGCTGTACCTTGATTATTTCATGCCTTAGTGAGCATGAAAACAGAACCAAACAATATGCTGGAGCATGTATGGCTGAGCACTATAGGAGAAAGCTAAAGACCAAGAGTTGAAGATCCTATTGCTAACACTGATGTTCTCTGTGATGGATTCTAGAGCAAATCACCCAACACCTTCCTGTCTTAGTGTTTCCCATCTGAGAAATGGGCAGAATGCATTCTTGAGAGTAATGACTATCAAGCAACTGTGGGGTAATGAGTCCATGCTGTTTATAAAATACTGAGAGCATAACGGATTTTGCTGGATTCCCTTGTTAATAGTATTTCCCTATTTTGTGCTTCTGTCTCATGTTTATGTAGTAAATTAACACCCCCCCGAACAAATAATTTATTTTGCATGGCTTCATATGCTGCAGCAGGATCTCTCTGAGAGGAACTAATGCATCATTCACGTGAAGAATAAAGATAATTGTTAACATTATGCTAAGATCAATTTTGATTAAAAGCTTACACTTCTCCAAAGGAAAAAAATCAATTAGGAGTGGAATCCTGACCACATTGAATTTAATGGCAAAACTCCCACTGACTTCAGGCAGGCCAGGATTTCACCCTATAGGTTCACAGCTAACTAAATGTGCAGGCACTATTACAGCAAGATATACACAGATTCTGCCATGAACGAATCATGCTGTTGCACTGAAAAAGAAAATGTTTAAAAGGACATGGACGATCCAGCTACAGCCAACTCTGACGTCAACTTGTGCTGTTTCTGTTATGTAAATCTTAGTTGTGCTTTTTTCTTCTAACTTAATGTGTGCTGCAAAGGAGTACATTTAACTAAAACAGAACTAATACTGACATGACTTTTTTTTAAATGCTCACTTTCCACAATGACTCCAGTTCAAACACTTACACCATGACACAAACAATTTCAGGATCCAATTCTGGGAAATACTGGATGCTACCATGTTGTGCTTCCAAAGTTTCTACTGCAATTCCCATTAGGTGTAATGACACCTACTGCTCAGGGACAGACACGATTAACTGCAAGCCTTCTCACTGCTAAATATAGGCACATGTTTTTGCATTTATTGTAGATCCTAGCAAAGAGAGTTATATGGATTGTTTTGGCCCTTCCTTTTAATGGGATTCCCAGAATGACAGGAATCTGAAAACTCACAGCTCGTTACTGAGAACAAAATGCTGATCCAGGCAGAACCAAAAGATTTTAACATTGCTTCCAAGCAGAGATCTAACAGACTCTTGTAGAATGTGCAAAGCAGCTCCCATCCCTACAACCTGGCTCCCACATTTAGCATTCACCAAGTGTTTACTGAACGCGTGAATAACCTGGGAATTTCCCAGGTAGGTTTCATACCCAGATGTCAGGGAGATGATCAGGATGTTTAAGCTATTCGCAAGATAAGGTGTGACTTGTGATTATTGTCTAAGTTATTCATACTGCAGCTGTGCCTTTAGACTCGACTCTCAGCAGAAGGAAAGAACAGGACTTGTAGGGTAGCTCTCTGTGTACTGGAGCATGGCTACTATGATTAGTAGCAATAGCAGCAGTTTTAAATGATGAGATCCTCTTTATAGAGCAAGAAGAAAAGAAAATTAAAACCAAACGTGATCTCTCCAACTCTCTCATATTTTTTGGACTTCTGGGGAATATTTTCCTTTCCCACCAATTCCTGCTTTCCAGTCTATGGGCTCAAATCAAATTAATGTTTCTAATTGTTCCTTAAAGGTATTAATGATAGACCACATCTTGAGAGACACTGAATGTCTTTGATTGTCATCAAAGCCAGGATTTATGCAATTTGATGTTGAGTGGGACTGACGGGAATCAACATTTCGCAGGATTTGTTCCATACATACATACATTAGCTACAAACTATTTAAGGAAAATGCTTCTCAAACATACTCATTTTACTTTGCCACAGGCTTGAAGACATGCATGTGCAGGCTGTGCCTCTATAAAGCCATCTTATAAGCTATAAAGCCATCTTTATGCTTTACCATTCCAAGAGTGATGAACTCTGGGGAGCTAATAACATCCCTTCATTATTAGGGAAGTAGAGAATAGACCTGATGGACAGTGAATTTGAAGCGATTGTGAGGCCACTTCCTTGGTTAAACACATGGCTAAGGAACTGCAGAAGGGCCTTTAAAAGTAACGATCTCTGACAGCCACTGACGCTTGCATTTTATCAGCTTCTGTCATCCCTAATAATTACCTTTACTTTCTTACACCTAAAATCAGTGTTGGCTGAGGAAAGTGGAATTGTATTAGCTTGACAAAACAGGAGGATACTTTTGTTAAACTGATAATTTTGTCATGTTATTGAAAAAAATCTGCTCATTTTTGAGAAGCTCATTAGCCAGGGGTAGTGAGGTGACAATGGTATGGAAAGGGGTGGGGGAGGGGGACAGGGAGGACTTAGCACCCCTAACGTGGCAAAGGGAGGAATGAGCTCCCAGTACAAGGAGCTCCCAGCAGTATGTCTTCCTGTATATGGCATATAACTGAGAAAGACACAGAAGACTGCAGTAGTTTTTACTGTTAGCGGCAATCTGCAGCTGGGGAATGCTGTACAGTATATGATTAAAGCTTCTGCACATATCCAGACATAATGAGACATTTGCTCTTATATGTTACAGTCTTTACTCTTTTGCCTGTATGCAGTTACCTGGAGTGTCTGTTTTATAGGAGAGGAAAGATGGCTCTAACATATAGGTGTAGGACTTGAGGACCAAGGGTTCTATTCCTTTTCTTCCACAGCTTTTCGTGCCAACACTTCGAACCCTGTTCTTAATATGTTCCCTGGCCTCTCATTTTCTCCCCATGATTTTCAGGGTACAATGTTATGGCACTTACCAGTCTAGCAAGCTGTTTTGTAGGACATATTAAGTAGGTAGCTACTTATATTCCGTGCAGAGTCTGCGGAACTCCCTGTGTAAATAGCTGATGGCACAAAGTCAGTGCAGGCTCTTTAAAATAAGGCACTTAACCTCCTGTGTCACAATCTTTTATCTAAGAACCAGAGATAACATTGAGCTCAGAGAGGGCTGCTGTTTGACTTAGTTCTGTAGTGTTTATAAAGTACTTTGAGACTGTCAGAGGGAAGGCAGGTTGTTATATTGCTCAACGTGACCGGTGTGTAGGTAGGTAAATTGCACTTTAGTTAGAAAGAAATGGGCATATGCAAATGAAGAATATGAGATCACAGTACTTTGGGCATTGGCTCCCATTATAATTTCTTTCCATGTAAATGAATCAGGGCAGAAATCAAATACATCAGGAACAGACAAAATTTGGAAACAAACAAAACTTGTCTTTATTTTATTTCTTTTGATAAATGGAATTTAAAACATACACTTAGAAACAAACACAGTTAATCTGCAAGTGCTTCCTTCTCCTATAGTTAAGATCAAAAGCTGCTTTTGACAAGATCACTCCAGTTTTACACAGGCTCACTTTTCTGGTCATGGAGGTAGATTTAAATCCTGGTTTCACTTACAACAGAAAGGATTAAGAGTTTCTGAGATGCTGTAATACTGCTCATCAGGGAAGGCAGTAGGTTGTATAGTTATCTCCTGATTGGGGCAAAATCACTACCCTGAAACCACACAACCTACTACCTCACCCTGCCAGAGCACCAGGAAATTCCTTCGAAGAAGGTTAGCAATTCAGTGGCCTTTGCTTCCACAATTCACCAGTAGAATTCCCCTCTGCTTTCAGAGCCGATTTGTTCCTTGCTAACTAAAGAAAGAACAGCATCTTTGTGAACTTTGTGATTTCAGCCCTGCCTCAGAGCTGTCCAGGGGAGTCACAGTGTAAGTGGGTGGAATAATCCAGTAGAAAGAGGAGTAGCAGTCAGGATGGCCTGTTCACGTATACGTAATGCAAAAAAATGAGATAAATCAGCAATCAGAAACCCAACAACAAACCTCTGCAGCCTAGTGTCATTTCTCTTGGCATGGAAACTAACTTCCAAATGGCCAGCTCTTGGCCTTCTGTACAGTTCACCATTTCCCTGTACTTTAAACAGCGATTTACAGCTGTGCAAAAGTAGCATTTGATATCCACTTCTGTTGAATATTACCTGACTGCACAAGGCGCGGGGTTGTGGAGAACTGGGCAATTTGTCTTATTCTTTTGGTTCTTTCCCTGACACACATGCAAGGGGAGGAGGGAAGCACAGTGAGAGCTAACATCATCCTCACTGGAGAGCATGTAGTACACATTGGTCACCATGATTCACTGCAGATGGTGGAAATTCAACTGTTTCTTTATCTGGATGACAAAAATTGTAGCATTCTATGAAAGCTAAATGAACAACACAGGGTTTGTTATTCCATTAGAGCTCAGTTGCAAGTGGCTATATCTAATGAGTGGATATAGCCAAAGACCATCCAAATTAGAAGACTTCTGTTACATCTTTTGAAGCCATATCCAGCGTTGATATCACAGCCACTTCAGGAAAGACAGTAGATTGTATAGTTATCTGACAGGCAGGGTATAACCCTAAAACTATACAACCTACTACCTCACCCCAAAGGACAGTCAGACTCTGATCAGATGATGGTCAACAGTATTCTCAGATAGCTGGATTGCAAGCTGATAACCTAGAAGACAAAAAGGGTCTATAGAAGAATATTAGCAATTTTAAATTTGAAATAGTATTTGCTATATAACAGGCAACACTTTGTTTAACTAATTCCAGTATGAGGTTTAAAACACTCTTAATCATGCTACAACCTTTGAAGACACGTCTGTGACAAAATGCAGAAGGGGAAGGAGAATATAACATTCATTTTTAGTGAATACTAGCATTTCCCGCTCTGACATGCCTGCTAGCCAACGGATTCTGCCGCTATCAAAAAGGCATCATTAAAATTTGGAAAGCTGATGTGGGCGTGGCAAGTTTGTTTCAAACTGCACCTTGATAATCTTTCCCCAGGCAACAGCTGAGTTTCTGTAATTTACTTTCACAAGTGCTGCATGGATAAGTGTGAATCAAGAATTTGTCAAAGCTGCAGGGAAATTATATGGCTCGTTAAAATAAATATGCTGTCCCCCAAAGGACAGTAACACAGCTCTGAATCAATGGCCAAACTAAACATGCCCCACTGTACTACATACACTTTGGTTAACAGGACTAGGATAACTGCCACTGTAGTATAATTTATTCCCAATCTCACACCTATGGTAGAATTTGAGGTAGCTGTTAGCTCCCTCCACCACCTGGCCTGACAAAACACAACACCCCTCATTCAGTAAAGCTTAGAGTGCTAGGAATAACCGTGATATCAGTCAGAATTCTAGTATACTCAGTGCCTCAATAAAACAGCAAACTTTTAAAAACTATTCTAATTTAATCATCTTTAGTATCTTTCATGGTCATCTTTATTAGAAAATAAACTAAAGAAAGCAATGGACAATCACATAAACAATTACACACAGAGAAATCCAAAGTTGCATTTCAGTATAATGCCTGGTCTCACCCTATAGGTAATAGTCTGGATTAGGTTTTGTTGTGGGGAACCAAAGGGGTTTTCAACTTCCAACAGAATCAAAATTGAGACCCGAAAAAAACAACGGAACAGGAGAAACTACATATCAATTTTATTCCACTGCAGGTAGAGACAAGAAAGAGCGCACAGCAAGAGAGTTCTCTAACAATAAATGCACACCTCACGGAGAATCACACACAGCAATTGTGCTCTGACCCAGTATCATGGCCATGATACCTCAGCCTCTGTGGCAGCCCCACTTCAAAAGAGAAAGACAAAGAGGCAGAGTACAATGCCAAAAAGGTATATTTTTTTTCTAGATCCACTTGAATAATTAATAGGTGATCTGTAACACAGTACTGCAGGGATGGCACAGGCATCAACTTCTTCACCCTTCAATGAACTAACGTACTTTTTAAAGAACTCCAGAAAGAAGACAGAATGCAGATTTATAACCAAATTACAAAATAATGTCTTAATCTATAAAATCCACTGTTATTTTATCAGCTTCAAGAAACATTTCACTGTAGGGGACTGCAACCAGATATTACAAAGAGGTTACTGTGTTGCATACTGTGCATATTTATTACACAAAGCTTTTAATGGTGTGATTCTCCATAATTCTAAAATAAGCAAACAAGAGAAAATAGGATGATGACAGATGTCACATATTTGTAGCAAATACCCAAATATATAAAGAGCTAATGTTGTAATGTTACTGAATTTCCTTTTACTAGTCTTTAGGATAATAAAGTATGCCAGGTACGCCATAAATGAAAGCAGCATAAATATATCAATGTCTTATTAGCATAAATTGTGTAAGCTGGTGGCAGAAGATGCATGAAAATCAACAGCAAATAAAAGCGTTTGGAAAACACTGAGATAGAAAGCATTACCACTTAGCAGTCGCTATGCCTTTGGGTTTTAAATACCTAAATTCCCTAAAATGGCAGGTGTAAATTTTGGCAAGGCCAATTAATCACTTCAGTCTTTCAAAGAAAAATTGTCCTCCCTGAGGCTTACTGTGCACGTGTCTATCAGCTGAAGACACAGACCTTGTTTTGTTTGTGTGGTCATCAGTGTTCCCTTAGTGCTTTTCCTAAGAGCACAGGATTTGTACTGGTCACAATACTACCTCCCACAGCTGTACAGTGGTTATCTAGTCAACTATTATCCTTTCACTCACGAGTGACTGCACTTCAGTGATGCCTGTGTGGGTGTGGGTGCATGTACACACACACATGTGTACTCACTATGTGAAATGCTTTCAATTTTAAACACAAACTGTACCTTTACCTAAAAATAAAATGCTATTACATAACGCAATTGGGGGAAAGCTACACACTGTATGATTTCCTTTAAAGAAAGAGTATTGTTTGGTATTTGTCTTATATGGTGAAGAATACAAGCAATATAACCTTTTCAAGGTGGAAGCCTTTTCAGGTCTCTCAAGATCTAAGGAAAGCAGTGCAGTGGACCAGACAACCTGGCATTCAAAACGATATAATCATTTCACAGTGGTGAAGGACCAGGTTTAAACTCCAGAGTCAAACACCTCCAAGCTCTACAAATATCATGGGTACTTCCAACCTTTGAGGTTGCTTCTGTTGATTATAGCAGTTTCAACTGAAAACTCAGATGTGAACTTGGGTAAGTCTGGGGGGAGTTTGGATCCAGAATATTTTGTAGGCCCTGCCTCTAAATTAAGACTGTGTATGTGCATTATTTCTCCATTACTAACTTCGTATACAGAACTGCTTTGAAATGAGGAAACCTTATCACATTGTTCACTTTTGCATAAAAGTTTCAAAACTGCTAATTTTTTGACTGACCCTAGCCATGTATGTAAGGTCCAGTTATTACAACTTATGACCATAATGCCACAGACTGGCTCCTATATGAAGTGTTTAGGTACACTGATGACCTAATACTACATATTCTGATGCAAATTTATGATTGGGCATGCCTACATGTGCTTTACTGCACAGTAGAGTAATTTGCCATGCAGTAAAGCATCACCTTCTGCATGTGTGTGGCAATTAGGCTGGTGTAGACTAATTTACTGCACCATCAGATAGTCCCATCAGACACAAGTACTATCTGACAGTGGAGTAAATTACTGCACTTAAACACATGTAGACGATGACATCTGGATCACTTTACTCTGGCTCAAATTGCACCAGAGTTTATTCAGTTGCATTAATTGAATGTGTAGACACGCCCACTAGTGAAATTCCTTTGTGAATTAATCTCCCTACCTGTAAAATGGAAAAATACATTTCTTAACTACCTTGCAAGCATGTTGTGATGATTATCTGTGAAGTGTTTTAAAATGTAAACTACTATTTGCTATGAGATCCAAGTATTATTACATTATGGTTATTAACAGTTTCAAGTATTCATTGCCAAAACAATATCACTTTAAAATGTGCCTTTTATTAAATCTTATATTCAGAATTTGAAATTCATTATTTTTTTCTGATGTTACAAAATGTTTGTAAATTTTAGTTTAATTGTTTAAACTGCCAAAAAAGGACTCTCTCTCAAATACCTAATGCAACAAAAATGCATGTTCATTTTCTATGTTTCAAGAAAACATGGATATTAAATAACTACTTGGCAAGAGTTACATTTCCAGTTTAACAACTGTTTAATACTAGGAAAAATATGACATTTCCATGTTCCAACTGTTTTGCTGATCAGTTAAAAATGTCTACTCTGCAGAGGATTGGAACTGATGTTAATGAATACCTCAACAGTCACTTTTCAAAAGGCACTGAGCCAACTTAGTTATTTTTGTGATGTAATAGGAAAGGTGACAGTGTTAAAGCAGGTTTATTACATACTTCATACCCTTAATAATTAACAGACTCTGGGATAAAATAGTAATGGCAATATCAGTTCTAGAATGCCAAATATCTAAAGGGCTCAAAATCATTTACACATGTATGGCTTTAAGAAGGTTCCCTATGAGGGTGGTAAATACCACAGGTACCTCTTTTAGGAAGCTTAGAATATATAAATATTCTAAACAGAAGGCTGAAGAGGCACATAAACATATAAAGAGATATCTAGCTTACTGCTTTGAATATTGATCCTGGCAATAATGACTTTAGCAGACTCAATGAAATGGCTTGGCCGTCATACTCCATTTTCTAAGAAATATATATTTATTATCTTAGGGTGCCTGTAGACATGCGGGGCAGCTGCTCTGATGCAGTGTAATTACAGTATGTTGGAGTATGTTAATTAACACGCTCCAGCCAGCCTCCACATCTCATGCATCACTGTCCCCATGCTTAAAAATGACAGCGAGATCATTCAATGAGCTTTAGTTAAAATGCCCGTGCCTCCATTCTGAAGCGCAGAAACACTGATACATGAGATGCTGCAGGAGCTTTAATTAGAGTGGCTCTCAGAGCTGCTCTAATTAAAGTGCTCCCCCCACCTTGAGCATGTGTAAAAATGCCCACAGATGGCAAGATGGCACCAGGGATGGGTCCAGTTGCACCCACCCTTGATTCCTACTCTACCCAAACTTTAAACCAACTGCTTGGGAAGGGGAGCAGCATATCTATTCAGGCAGTGCTGAGAGAGCCAATTAGCTCCATGGCTCATTATCCTCTCCCTGATTCCTGTTAATCTCTCTCCATTCTACTGTGTTAACAATATTTTTAATGGTCTTAATGTTCCACTGTTCATACTATCCTTTCTCCCACACTTTTTGCTGTCTGTTAGCCATTCCTAATAATGTCTCTCTTCTATTTCACAGCCCTGCAGACTGCTTCTTAGCTCTTGCCAAAAACCTTAACTCAGGTGTGGACAAACTGGAGGCAGTCCAGCAAAGGGCAGCAAAAATGGTTGGGGGCTGGGGCACATGACTTATGAGGAGAGGCTGAGGGAACTGAGCTTATTTTGTCTGGAGAGGAGAAGACTGAGATGGAATTTAACAGCAGCCTTCAACTACCTGAAGGGTGGTTCCAAAGCGGATGAAGCTAGATTTTTCTCAGTGGTGGCAGATGATAGAAGAAGGAGCAATGGTCTTAAATTACAGAAAGGGAAGTTTAGGTTAGTTATTAGGAAAAATTCTCTCACAAGGAGGGTAGTAAAACACTGGAACAGGTTACCCAGAGAGGTTATAGAATCTCCATCCTTGAAGGTTTTTAAGACCCAGCTAGATAAAGCCTTGGCTGGGATGAGATAGCTGGGGATGGTCCTGCTTTGAGCAGGAGGTTGGACTAGACATCCTGAGGTCCCTTCCAACCTTAATCTTTTTATATGAATATTAGCTTGGGTTTAGAAATGACTGACAGTGAAGTATAAGAGGCACTGTCAAGACTCTCAAGAAGGCGAGATTTTGTTTTATGAATCGGAATAAGAGACATTTAAGTATAATAAGCACAGGACTAATGACACAATATCTTTTGACTATTTCAAATATTTTTTGCCAAGTTTGCTGTTGTTTTTTAAAAACTATGCATACTTTAGCAAATGAGTGCACATTCAAATAGTTATATTTGTTTTTGCTTTGATCTTAGACTGAAAAATGCAGTGCTAGCTGCTTAACGTACTAGTAAAGCTTCTAGTTCCTATTTAACTGGAGAATAATATGCCTTGTGTTACTTGTGATGATATGCCAGATGAGCTGCACCCCTTTTGCAGAATCCTAGATTCACCCATGGATGGCACCAACTAGTACCCTTTGATGAGAATTATAGTTGAGAGATAAAAGGACCGAGAATCAGATTGAAAGCTGGTTGCAGTCAATAGGAGAAACAGAACTGGATCAGGTCAGCATGAGAGACTAACCTACCACTTTACCCTACATGACTGCTTTCAAGGCAGGGGTAGAGCCAAACAGCACAACGGGGTCTTTTCCAAAACTTCCATGTGTGAATTGGTTCAATGGAGAGAGGGCTTCAGTTTCCCAGGCCAAATCTCTGGCAAATGTCACCCACACCAAATTTGCTCATTTTCCTCAAAATATTTTTCAAATGAGTCTAATAAAAATAACACATTGCACTTGTATCATTCCTATCCTCTGAGGAGCAAAAAGCAATTTACGCTTTGCGACACACCTGTGAAGCAGATGAAGGATGCATAGCAATTACTCATTCACTGCTGCAATACAGTTACTTCTGGAGTGGCAAACTGCAGTTGTTGCACAATATATCAAGCACCACATAACAATTTAAGGCTGGCACTGGAAAAATATTAGTCATTTGAAACTGCAGGGAGGATTAAAGTAGGCACAATTTCTTTACCTTAGTAAGTGTATGACCAGGACACCAAGTTTAACATCCATCCTCTTTTGGAAATGCTATAGGATTTTCCATGACCACATCTGGTTTGGGTGTTAGTTTGTATCTCACCTGAAAGTATACATGAAATTATTTGGAGCTAGAAATCACAATGACACAAATCTGCCAGCTAAGAGTCCTATTTACTGTTCTTTCTCAGAATAATTCCCTCAGAAGATAGTGGAATTTTTCTTGAAGAAAAATATCCCAGCACTTAGATTCAAAGACCACTGAAGTCAACAGGACATTTTCAATTTACATCAGTGGCTTCAGATATGGGGCTCAGGACTCAATAAAATAAAAAAAACTTTAGTTTTGAATTTAAAGTGCTATGCTGCATTTAGGGGTTTAAAGGACATGATCCAAAGACACTCAAATTAATGAAAGGAAATTCATTGGCCACAGTGAATTTTGGATTATGTCATAAATCAACACCTTTAGCAGAACAGTGTTTCGCGGTGGCCCACCTGCCCATATGGGGTAGGAAGTCCATTAATAATTAATTGATTATTTTAGGATTTAAAAAAAAAAAGTTTGGAGAGCCAAAATTACCCTGGTTCGAACACAACTGGAATCATGCCAGAGGTGAATCTGGCTCAAACAGCATGTGTACATGTATACCCTTTCTGAAAGGTGAGTGAGTCATTACATGTTTCTCCCATATCAACTATACCGGGTTTATTTACTTTTACAGTGATATTGGATACTATGTGTGCTGCAGCACAGTGCTGTTTAATGGGTTTTATGTATACACACTTTAAGATGCTGAAACCATTCCAGTTACCAAACCAGTGGAAAATACTTGGAAAAGGGCAGCAGTTAGAAAATGGCCTGGAAAATACATACACAAGTTAAACTCAGTGCTGTGGCTGCCTAAGTAACTATGAAAGCTGTAATCATATAAACATATATTAGAGCAGAGACATTCTTGATCTTGAAAGACTACATGTTACACTAGCATACACCATAGGTTCCTAAGTCCCACAAGGAGTCATGCAGGAAGTCAGTGCACATCTTGGTAGGAGCAGGCCCCAAGCTGTAATTCTCTCAGAAATGAACCATAATGGATACGTCTACATGTGCAATTAATGTGACGCGTGCCATTTGAACGTGCTGTCTGAACGTACACCCAGGCCTGGGCATGCCATTTGAACGTGCACCCAGCATATTGAACTGGGTCAGAGCAGCCCCACTGGGCAGGAGGTCCAGGGGGTCAACCTGCCACCCCAGGGCTGCTCCCCCCATAGCTCAACGTGCTGCAGAGGGGCTGACTAGGGTACGAAGGCTTTTCAGTGAGGGGCTAGCTGGCAGGCAGCCCTCACACTGAAGTACACTTGCACTCCAGCCAGCCCTGTCAGCATCTACACATGTGCTGCTGAAGAGTAAAAAAATCTGCAGCAGGATAGTACTTATATTTATTTGTATTTAATTAGTGTAGTCCATCCTAATTGCCCTGCACATGTAGATGCCGAGAAGTTTACTGAAGAGCTAATTAGTCAACTCCACAGTAAATGTCTTGTGTAGATGTGCCCAATGCTACCTAAAAATGGAACTTTGTTAACAAGTTTCTTTAAAAAAAACTAAAAAACATTTTAGGGTAGTTCAACATTTCAAAGGCAATGGGCCACATCTTAAGGTGGTCTACATTAACACAGTTTCTGTGCCCTCAACAAGCAATTCTACCCCTTTTTTAAATGTGCAAGTGCTTTTTAATTAAATGTCATTCATTAGGTTGCTGTACAATGGCTATTATTAGATAAGTGCTTAAAAAACTGAATCAAATACAATCATATTTTAAAATAACACTATTTTCCTCTCATATTATGGCAGATCCTTAGTTGGTATAAACTGAAGTAGTTCCGCTAATTTTAATGTTATGTCTTATTGTATTTTTTTCAATTTATGTTACACTTACCTAATATTCCAGGTGCCATAAACCAACAACAGCTAACACTATTTAATTTAATAAGTAAAATTCTCATAGAACTGCCCAGAGCCACAAAATAATAAGGATTGAATTATGGTTCCTGTGTGTGTAACAGTTCTATTATTCAGTAAATAGCAATATAAGATTTAAAAAATATATATTTTATAAATAAAAGTTGAACTGTTTATTTTTATTATGAGCTATTTGCTTTGCAAGATTTAAATATTTATCTTCAATGTTTTTTCTAGCATAATCTTTAGGTCTACTTGCTAATCAGTTGATTTGTTGTATTAGTCCTGATGGGCTTTCTGCCCAAATCTAACATGGCTGCCAAGCGTGACATGCACGGCTGATAGCAGCAGCAGGAGCACAGCGAGCTCACACTCTGCTGCATGTCTGAGAACACAGTGGTAGAAAATGATGACTACCAGATGGCAGCGCTCAGAAATCGGGACAGGGCCAAAATTTGAAAGAGAGGAAAAATCTGTGGGGAAATAACAAACGTATGAAAAAGAAACAAGAAGATTTTTATTTAAAACATAATATTCTAAAGGCATACTTCATATGTGGCAAGCAAAGGAGAGAAGACTAGATGCTCTGGGAGGCAAGTGTGACAGTAGGAGGAAATGAAGGTTGGTTGAACTGTGCCAATTAGGAATGCATTTCGCTCCTTGCTGCTAAAAAGGTGAAGAAAATGAATCAACTGTGTTTTCTTTTGTCAGAAGTAGTTACCTTCTCATTATTATAATGAATATAGGGAGATGTCTGATCTTTCTACATCTTTCTTCTAACAACTGCTTCCCAAACATTGCTAATTTATCTCAGTGCCCCAGTGAATGAAGATGAATAAGACTCATGAGCCTTCCCCCCTCTGCCCCTTCTGTAGTTGAGGTAACAGAGGGACAGAAAACTTAAAACATTATTTTCCAAAAATGTCTAGTAATTTTGGGTGTCCAAGCAAAAAAGCTTAAGACCTGATTTTCAGGGGAGCAGAGTACTCACAAGTCCAGATATAGTCATTAGGAGATGTAGGTGCTCAGCATCTCTGAAAATCAAGCTTTTAGCAACAAGTCTGGCACCGCACCTGAACATTGAGGCAACCAAAGAAACATGTACATTTCAAAGATATCCTCTAAGTGCCCATGGCTACATAGCAAGGAAGTTTCAGGCCTGGGAAGAGAATTCAGGAGGCTCTAGTCATTAAACAAGACTCTTTTTCTCTTCAATAACAGTATCCCACCCTGCCTTACCTTTTCTGCTCTGGACCATCTTAAAAACAATGGAAAGCTGGGCATATCTACACATGCCTCTAAGCTGGCTTAGCCTAAAATCGCCATTTTTAAGGCACATTAAGGATGTGTGTCTACATGTGCGCACCCTTAATGTGCCTTAAAAATGGCAATTTAAGGCTACGTGAGCCTAAATTAGATACCTGCATAAAGCAGGTATCCAATTTAGGTGTGACTAGCTAAGCTGCATTAGCGCATGTGTAGATGCACTAATGCACATTAACGTGGTATATGTCAATGGACACACACCATGTTAGTACGCATTAGTGCATCTGCATGTATGCTAAGGCAACTTAGTTATCCGTGCCTAAATTTAATGTGCCTTAATGCACATTAGTTCATCCATATGTACATGTGCACCTAAATTGCCTTAATGTGCCTTAAGCAAAGGCACATTAAGTTTAGGCATGCGTAAATACACGTGTAGACATGTCCACTGAGCAGCAACGAGTAGCACCAAACTTTGTGTCAACTTAACTGGACAACTCTTAGGTCTGGAATGTGATGTCAGCCATAGCAAATCCACCAAACTTTTTTATCTTCTCCACTTCCCCCTGCAACAAAATATACAACATAACTAAGGACATGTCCTCTGCTGGAGTTAACTGTCACAGCTCTATTGACATAATAGAGGTATGACAATTTATACCAGTTTGATATATACCTCCTTATATTGCACCCAAATAGCACATTTCTGAATCAGAACCGTCCTATATAATAATTCCACATCTATCTTGAGAAATGTTTAAGTATCACTTAACTGCATGGAGAATGTTAGGTAATTTATGTAAGCAGTAGCCAAGGATCATCAGACTGGTTCCTTTGCCATATGTAGCTCTTCAGGACCCCATATGCAGCCTACATGGAGTCTCTAAGTTTGACCCAAGTAAAAGCATAGCAGAGCAGCTCAACTTCTAAGGAATCTGCAACAGGCGCAGCAGATCCAGCTGTTGCCATGCCGACTGGTGTGGTGTGGTCAGTTGCTGCTGTGGTAGTATCTGCTGCCGCTGTGGTAGTGTCTGCTTTTGTGCCCACTGACAAAGGCAGTGCCAGGGGCTGCTACCTTGGTCACCCTCCCTCAGTTATGCTATCGGATCAGAGAGGAATTTCTTCTTCTTACTTTGCCAGCAGCTGAGACAGTCTAGGGCAGTGGTTTCCAACCTTTTTTCATTTGTAGACCCCTAAAAAAAATGTTAAATCGAGGCACGGACCTCTCTGGAAATTTTGAATGGAGGTGCAGAATTGTAAATGTGGATATTCACATACTGATCATAGTCATCTTTTGTGGACCCCTTAGACATAGTCAGTGGACCCCGCAGGGATCGTCCATGGACCACAGGTTGAAAAGCAGTGGTCTAGGGAAATAACATGATAAACTGGTCTTATGATGTCTTGGTAAAGTGTTGCAATGTATGCCTTGCAGCATTATGTCAAGGGATTTTACCCGTTCTGTAAAATCAACTGCTGCTATAAATCTAAGCCCTGATCTTAAACCATGTGTAGTACCTAAGCCACATCTCTCTCTGTGAACCATAAATTCTTATGCTGAAGTAAATGTAGGCACTAAGGGTGTTTATAGATAGACAGGCTCCAGGAGGTGGTGATGGTGGAGGTGCTTTAATTTAATCAGCTCTGATAACTGCTTTAAGTGCCCAGAGTGTCATTAACTAAAGCTTGTTGAACGGGCTTTAGTTAAAGCACCCCTGCCACCATTTTTCAGTGCAGGGATACTGATACACATGATGCCATAGTCTGCTGGAGTCTAGTAATGACCACGCTCCAGTAGGCTCGACTAATTGAGCCTGCTCCAACGTGTTGTCATTACAGCATGTCAAAGCAGCCTCTCTGCATATGTA